ATGACGATAGCACACTGGTCAGTGAGGATTCACAAGATCGAAGGCGACATCGAAAGAGGAAAGATCGAGATTATGATAAGGAGAAACGGAAAGGACCCAGACAGGTGAAACGAGACGAGAAAACACGTGAACCTAAAGGGTTAGCAATTAGAATGGTGGAAAATTTATGCCTCAAAATGTATGAATGATATGACAGTTTCATGTTAAAACCTCCAATCATCGAAATATTTTTTTAAATTTTGATTTTGACTTATCCTCTATGACTGATTACATATTACTTGTAAGAGTTTCGGAGATCAGATTTCAAAATTATTTCTGAAAGATGCTAATTCCTTATGAGGTCAACAATGATGAGGAATTTTGTGGAAAAAGGTGGTGTTGGTTCGTTGATAACGAGAGAGGGTCACGTTTTTGGCCTACTTATGCTCATGCTTTTAGCCTGCTCACTCAGTCACTGCTCATGTTCTTAAGCACAAGTCGAGCAGAATTTTCCTCTCGTGCTAGCGAGCCCTGTAACAGCGCATTTCATATTGGTGTGAGTGTAAAATTTATTCATCGATTTGAAAAAATTTCAGGTCAGTCGTAGCAATGACTCAAGGTGAACAGCCTCAAGCAGCGATGCTAAATGCACCATGGCCAGGAGGTCCTATAGATGCGAGCCAAGGAGGAGGAGGAGGCATCACTATCCCTCAACATATCATTATTCCTCCGTCGAGTGGCACATACGGCCCAGATGGTCGACTCCAACCGCAATCTTATCAGATTAATTCTGAAATTCGAATATGTTATGATCAACATGGACGACCCGTGCCCCACTCGGGCGTGCCCGCAACGGGCACCATGCCGGTTGGCTTGAGCTCTGTGCCACCACAGATTCAGTCGGCAGGAATGCCACTTATGGCACCCTCTCAATTCCCAACTAGTGGCGGCGCTCAAGCCCAGCTTCGACCACAGGTGTGTCAGTTAGCACGTAGTTCTTCTCGTAAGTCAGTTCGGTGGCTGGCCTGAAGAAATTGTTCATTCCATTTCTTGCGTTGTGGTGGTGGTTTCTTGAAAAACCCTAACGAATACTACAATGAGAAATAAAAGAGTATCGAATGTCTTTGATCAACGACTTGATCTCATATGTGGGAATGCGTTGCGACGAAGGAACGAAACGATGCAAGATTGATATGATTACAATAGGACGATTAATTTATCCAAAAAAGTATTGATACTAATCACTAATTAGCCTGTTCAGTTGTTAATTAATCAGTTATTAAGTGGAGTAATTGGTGTTGAGGTGTTTCACTTTTTTCTTCAC